ATAGTATATAGTATATAATGTAGTATATTAGCACTGTATCTTAAATAGGTGTGTATATATGATACACACTACTGATTTTAAAATCATTTTTGTGTATAGCTTTTTTTATAAATCCATATTTTAATTTAGTTTTAGTTTTTAAATGCAATACTATATTCTTTTACCTAGATATAATGTATAATGACATACAGATCTGAAGTTAGGCTAGATTACTATTAAGACTAAAAACAGATTTCCTGAAATTTTTGGGAAAGGAAAAGTTGCCTTAATTAGCACCTCTCTCAGAGGGACTGATCATTAATCAACATTTATTAAGTATTCAGAAACTTTTATGAGTTAATACACCAAGGCTATTAGCCTTGTGACTCTAGCCTGGATTTGAACAAATTATTAAAAATGTTACTTGCATAAGAAACTTCATACATTGTAACACATATCAGTTCACTCTAATACAGAAAATAAAAGGAGATAAAATTTACCTATTCACAAAAAATCTGACTATTGCTGAGGCCATATGGCCAGACAGGTATATAAGTTGACACAGATACTTAGCTAGTCAGAGCTGCTAAATATTCACATTGTGAAGGGTTTTTTGCTGTTTCTTTTTAAATTGAAAGTATAGCACATTTGTTTGGGACAAATACCCCTCAAAGGTGCCCAATACAATTACAAATGACATTTTATCAGAGAATTTCAACAAGAAATACCTGTATGAACACAATTATAGACAGCATGACATTCAGTTGTGTCTGACTTTTTGTGACCCCATTTGGGGTTTTCTTGGCAAAAATACTGGAATGGTTTGTCATTTCTTTCTCCAGCTCATTTAACAGATGAGGAACTGAGGCAAACAGAGTTAAATGACTTGCCCAGGGTCACACAGCTAGTAAGGGTCTGAGGCCAGATTTGAACTCAGGAAGATGAGTCTTCCTAACTCCAGGCCTGGCACTCTATTCACTGAGTCACCTAGCCTCCCATTCTACACATAATAGGTGCTTAATAAATGTTGATTTGAACTCATTGCTGATCAGTGTGGCCCAGTGCCCACCACTCAGGGAGAGACTACTGGTTGTACACACATCTTCAACAGCTGAGGGAAGTTTTTGTTGTTGTCGTCTTTTTTTTTTTTTTTTTTGTGAGGCAATTGGGGTTAAGTTACTTGCCCAAGGTCACACAGCTAGTACAGGTCAAGTGTTTGGTCTGAGGCTGGATTTGAACTCAGGTCCTCCTGACTTCAGGGCCAGTGCTCTACCCACTGCACTGTTGTTGTCTTTTTAAAAAATGATCTACCCTTTCCCCAACTTCTCTTTTCCCTGCCCTGTGCCTATCCAATAAGAATGTAATTTATTCAACTTTATTCTTTTACCTAGATGTTTCTTATATACTGCTATTGTTTTAAATGTGAGGCCAAGGATATATGGAAATATGAAAAAATTTAAATTAGGGCAGAGAGCCAAATTTCTGTCTGAACGTTAGGAATTTTCCTGAGAGCGCTCAGCTATTGTAATTGTACTCGTAACTTTTCATTTTATATACTCCATAAAACAGTAGAGAAAAGGACCAAGTATACCAGAAAACCATTATATTGCCTCTAGACTTTAAGGAAGAAAAAAAAAAGGAAGCTAATTTTGTCACAGGGTGTGGCTTTTCAAATCTCCAGAGAGAAAAGGGTGAAAATTACTCTTTACCACTCCCCTGGAAGATGGGCCTGGGAAGAATGCAACTCCACCCCTATCCATGGGCGAGGGATCATAAAAGATCAGTGGGCCAATTCTACCCTCCACAGCAACCACAGACGTTAGTTTCCACCTTCTACATGAAACTTTTCCAATTCCTCCCCCTCAGCTGGTGCCCTCCCTCCTTTCCAAAACTACCTTTTTATTCTGTATACATAGATATTGTATTCCCCTAATAGAATTCAATGTAATTGAGGGCAGGAGCTATTCCATGCTTGTCTTTATATCCTTAACAGGTTGAGCAGTTCCTGGCATATGAGACATTTGATAAATGCTTACTAATTAGTTTCTACAATCCAGAAAGGTTCCTGTACCCTCTGGTGTAGACTCATTATTCCTGGAGTCTGAGTGCACAGCCTTGTAGAGTCACATAGCAAGACAGTTTCTTTCCTAAAGAAATTTACAATGTAGAAGTAATGTTAAAGAACCCTTGAGAAAAGTTGAGAAAACACAGTTTGTTTCCTTCACTGAAGAGATGCTAGTTTGGAGGATGGGAAACATACACAATAGGCATACAAAATGCAGTTATCTACTGTGTGGAGTAGTTGTATTGGTTGGTTTTGCTGAATTGCTTTTTCCCCTTTCTTTTTAATTGCTTTAATGTATGGCTTACTGGTTTCAGGGAAGAGAAATTCAGAAAATAATGTAATAACAGAAGGTATCAATAAGATATTTTAAAGAAGGGAATGGGACAGCTAGGTGGTGCAGTGAATAGAGGACCAACTCTAAGGTGAGGAAGACCTGAGTTCAAATATGATTTGAGACACTTACTAGCTGTGTGACCCTGGGCAAGTCATTTAAACCCCATTGCCTCCAAAAAAAAAAAAAAGGAATGTTAGAGTTGGAGTGGAGCTTATAGATCATTTAGTTCAACCTTTTTATTTTACAGATGAGAAATGTGAAATCCTGAAAAGTTAAACGACTTGATTACAATTAAATATATACATATGAGACATATCCTTAGGTGACTGTAGAAATGATTTAGGGAGTTTGAACCTCTGGTACGTGTTCGAGAGCTTGAGATAGGGATCATTCAGACTTTGTAGTGCCAACACGACTTAAGTAGGGTTTCAGAGAATCAAAATGTGATGTGTGCCACTATACCAACTCAGAAAATTGTAGACTGAATGCTTCTAGAGAAAAATGATCATATTATGCATATACCATGCTAATTACAGTAGGAATACATCTTAGAATTTTAGAGCTTTAAGAGGTCTTCAACATCAGTGTTTTTCACTCAAACCCAAACTATCATACCAATAAAATATCTGAATTCTCTGAAAACTTTCTGTGCTCTTCTCTTGGTAAGGCTCAATAGCTGGAGTAGAAGAAGCAAGATGGTGGAAATAGAGAATAGTCAGTTGTCTAAATAGTATAGACTTTAATGAGGACTGTATTGATTGTTACAGATTGGTAAAAATTTGCCCCAAAATATTGATAGGGTAACATTGACCTAACCTATCGCCCTCAGGCTGGTTGGATAGAGTAGCGGTTGGACATTGGAGAACTCCCTAATCCTTCACCCTTTAAAGAGGGCAATGGGGATAGTCACCTCATCATTTTCCACCCTGCTGACGTCCTGGATTACATGATCTCCAGAAACTAATCATTCTGCAAGATGAATTCATCTCTGTAACTCACATCTCCTCAGATCACTTCCCACAAGCTTTAGAACCTCTTTATTCTTGCTCTAAACCACGCCCTGCCTCCCTCCACCCTCAACCTTCAGTGTTGTTTTTCCCATTAATTAGTTCCGTGAGGGTAGGAGCTGTCTTATGCACAGTACCTGGCACATAGTAGGGGCTTAATGTTCAGTGACCTAATCCATCTTTCACCCTCCACAACTCCCCACATAGGGTTTTTATCTAGTGTGCACTGCTTTTGGTGCAAAGGCAAAAATGAAACAGCAGCTGCCCTACTATTCCACCTCAGCCACATCCCCAATGTTAAAAAAAAAAAAATCCATTGTGAAGTTGAAGTCATTATAACTATCCATAGTGGGCCTGGTGTCTTAGGGGGCAAAAGCCCGAAAAGCAGATGGGTCTTCTTACTGTTCTAACGTAAGTGAGAATCCCAGCCTAGAATTTAAGGCCCTACAACATCTGGCTTCGGTCTTATTCACAACATCATCCTTCATAAATTCTGCTTCCCAGTAAAACTGAACTGCTACCTGTTCTCAAATCTGAAAGGCATCAACCCAACCATCCCCACATCCCACCCTGTGAAACGTTCGCCCGTCTATGCTTGTCGGGCAGCAGGCATTTATGAAGGGCCTACTACGTGCCAGGCGTCCAGACTTTCCGGGAGCTGGAAGCCCTCCGGCCGTTCTCTCTCTCCCCCTCCCTTAAATTAGAAGCTCCTGGAGCTGTCTTTTCTCAGCATGGCTTCTTCAGTGCCTAGGATGAGGGCCGACTGTGCCCGGAAGCGTTAGTGGACGGCTCCCCGAGGACACAGTTCCGGGTGCGTGGAGGGCGTGCGGAGCGCGTGCAGGGGGCTGCAAGGACGACGAACGCGGCAGCGGCCTTGCGCGCGTGGAGGGGGGTGTGGGGGTGGTGGAGACTCTGGAGATGACCAACTGAGGGAGGCGAGGGCAGAGGGCCCAAGCCCCAAGCCCTCCCCCCCAAGATGGCTGCGGCGGCCCTGGCGCTCGAGAAGCGCCGGCCCCCCCCGCCCCCCGGTCTCTCACCCTCAAGAGAGGGATGCCCCAGAGCCGGGGGCATGGGTGCGAAAAGAGAAGTCACGCGTAGAGTAAGAGAAAACAGTAGAGGAGGAAAGTCCGGAGAATGGGAGGGGCGTATGTTTGCGCGTGCGCACGAAAACGAGAGTCTCGGGCGCCTGTGCGGCAGCCGCGGGAAGGGCTGCTGGGGTGGTGCGGAGGGAGGAGGAGGGGGGGAGGAACTTGAGGAGTTGGGCGGTGCGTTGGAACAGCCACGGGGCGGCAGGGGCGCGCGGGGCGGTGGGGGGGGCGGAAGTGGCGGCTCTGGGGAGGGCTAGTGGGAACGGCGAGCGGGGGAGGAGGGGCGCGCGCCACGAGGGGCGGCGCGCGTGCGCGCTGTGCTGGGACGGGTCTCGAGAAGCCGGCGCTGGCACTGTTGCGGCGGCCGCTGCTTCGGACTTGCAGCAGCCGGCCGCTGCGGCTTGAAAAAAAGGGGGTCGCGCGGAGCGGGATCCGGTCAAGCGAACGCGAGCCGGGAGCCGGGGGACTTGCTCTGCCTCCTCGGGCCTAAGCCGCCCTGAAGAGCCCGAGACGGGGAAGAGCGGGCTGGCCGGCCCTGGGGGAAGCGGAGACCTCCGGGGAAGGAGGCGGCGGCCCAGGGCCCGGCCGCCGCCCGGAACGAGGAGGAGGAGGGAGAGGAGGGGACCATGTCTTCGAGGGCCCGCGACAGACTCTCTACCACCGACCGCGTCATCAAAGGTACCGGCCCAGTGCCCGGGGAACGGCCTCCGGGCTCTGCGGCTGGAGAGGGCGAGGGAAAGGGCAGAGCCGGGGGGTCTTGTGGGCCGAAGCGGGGAGTCCCAGGCTGCTCCTCCGACTCGGGGGGCCCCGGGAGGCGGCGGCCGGCTGTGGGGCTGGCGCGGGGGGTCCTTGGCCGGCGGGGCATCTGGGAGCCTAGATCCGATCTCTTGGGGATGGGGTGTGGATTTCCTCTCTCGGCTTGTCTCCAGGACGAAGGCTCTCATTGATTCTCTGGGGGATGGAGTGATTCTCAGGTCTGACCCCACCCCCTCTGCTCCTTTTCTACTTTGGGATTTGCTTTTTCGACCTCTTGTCCCCTTCTCCAACTTCCTCCCGATATCCCCACCTAGTTACCTTCTAGTAACTCCTTGCTTGAAAATTGAGGCTCGAAATACCCCAAGTCATCCCACCTGCCTAGTTTCTTTCCACTTGCCGCCCCCTCATCCTATTCTGGTGCATTACTGCATTAAAGTCTTCCTAAAACATCGTGAAATAAGCCTTCAAAGAAATCGCTTTAAGGGATTTACTTATTTCCTAAAAAGATGATTTAGTCAAAGCCCGAGAGCAATATTTTCCGATCTAGATGTTCATTTTAGGAAAATTAACTATTGACTGAATTAGTATAGGCTTTGTGCTTTGTTAAACTAGCAAGATCTGTCAAACTAAAGACATACTAAAGAGAATATGTCTTTTATTCAGACTTCATGTCACACCCTTTGCTGGCATTCCTGGGTAGCACAACTTAGTTTCAAAACACTAATGTGTGCCTGCATAATCCTGAGAACAGACTTTCACTTTGATTTGGAGGGATTAGTTTGAGGAAGAGATTCAAACTTTTCCTTTCGTTTTGGTGTTAGAAAAAGAAAGGAATAAATAGTGACGGATGTCGGGAGTGAGAAGGGTCTCTAAGGTTCCTTCTAGGTTCCCCAGTTTTGAGGGAAGAAAAACAAACTGAACACTTGTTTTTTGTTTATAAGAAGAGCAGCTTTATAATGTTGTTGATTGAATATGTGTTTAATAAATATTCTAGTTCAAGTGGAGATTAAGTGGTGGTATAGTAGAGTACTGGCTCTGAATCAAGAGGACAATCAGAAGTTCAAATCCCACATGTAACAATACTGTGTAACCTTGTGCAAATTACTTAACCCCCCCTGGGCCTCACTGTAAAATGAGAGGGTTGGACTACATGACTTCTGAGGTCCTTTTCAGCCCTATGTCTGTTATCTGATGATAGCTATCTGGCATCATCAGGGTATGAGGTATTTATATTTTACAAATAATTTGAACTTATTCTTTTTAGTACTAAAACTTAAAAATTAAACCATTGTGATTGTAAAGATTTCTAAAAATCTATCATATTCTTCCCTGTCTTAAGGTAAACTGAGCATAGCATAATATTTTTGATGACTCAGAATCGTAATTATGAATAAGTTATTGTATTGGACCTTTAAAATCCTTTATTTGTTATAAGTAGGGGTGTGAAACTTGAATTGAGTGGAGGAAGTAGCCATACAAATCACTGATTATTCAAAAGTACCCAAGTAAAATAGTACAAAGAACACTGGACTCTTGATAGGGATTTGAGTTTTAGTTCTGGCCCTGCCACTAATTTGCTGAAAGTGCCTTTGAGCAAAGGATTTCACTTTTCTCGTGTGTGTGTGTGTGTGTGTGTGTGTGTGTGTCTTTAAATTGTGTATGATAATACCTAGTCAGTCTTCCTCACAGATTTGATGTTAAAATTAAATGGCAGTAAATGTGAAAGGCTTAAAACACTACCTAAGTGCAAGGTAGTTCAGTGATGAGATGGTGATAATGATAAGTTTAGATCATTCTTGGAGTCTTTGGTGATAGAAGCCACTAACCGTGGAATTTTACTCAGAAAGTTTAACAAGCATTGTGGAAATTGGAGAGGCTGTGTGATATAGTGAATGGAGTGCTGTTTTAAGCCAGAAAGTCCTGCCTCTGATGCACACTGCTTGTATGACCCTAGGCAAATCATTTATCATCTCATTATGAGGTGATCACCAGCATTGGTAAAGAAAATATCCTTACACAGAAGTATGCTATACCAGTGAAATCACAGGTCCAGTCCCTTTTTGTCTTTGACATTGCAGTGTGCACTGGAATTGAAATAGTCAGTTTCTTTAAAATGTACATAGCTTATTCAGAACAAGAAGCTTTATAGAGACTAATATAGCTATTTTTTTCTAGTTTTGTGACTTCTGAGTTTTTCTCTTGACCATGTTGATATGAATATAACAAATGTACTAATATAGAATGTTTATCATTTAATAAGTTGATTGATTTTTTATAATATAATGTATTCAATTCACTCCAATATTTATTGAATGCGTATTTTGTGCAGTCATAGGTTCTGGTTTGACATTTTGGTTCCTGGTACTAACTTCCTCCCAATGTGTGGAAGTGGCTTTGTAACATGAAAAACAATAGATGTTGAGGTAGTGTGACCAGGTGGAAAGATTACTGACTCTTGAGTCATAGAATCTGAGTTCACATTCTGCTTTGATATTTAATTATGTGGGCAAGTCATTTTACCTCCCTGGGCCTTGGTTTTCACATCCATAAAATAGGAAGATTGGGTTAGGTGACTTCTGAGGTCCCTTCTAGCTCTTAGATCCTATTATATAAAGGTGATCTGCTTTAAAAAAAAAATCTTTTCTTTGATTTGTTGTAATGATTCAGATTCATTATGTCACCACTTCCAATACCTAGGTCAATGAACTAGAGACCCAAATGCTTGAATCCACATGAATGATTCATTTTCAGCTTGATTGATGAAATTCTGAACTGTGTATTCTTTTATTTGGTTCAGGAATGTTGCTTTTCTTTGACAGAATTTTTTTAAAGTATTTCTAACTTCAGATTGAATAATTTCTAGAAATAAGGAAGTTTGTTTTAGAAATATACACACTCAGAAGTCTATGTGATCTAAATCTATAGCTACATCTGAATAGATATAGACACATATCACCCATATATCCATGTGGCATAGTGCAGAGGTATGAGACTCAATGCCAGGTTACAGACCAGTGGACTGCAAAACTCCAGATGAGACTAGAAACAGATTAGAATGTACTTGAGAAATGTTTAACAAGATAAATAAAAATACAGTACAACATAGATAATGGTAATTTCTGGTTTTCGGAGTCGGTATGCAACCTGCTGGGATCTGGTTCACAGGCTTAGTAGGTAGAGAGTTGCCCTGGAAGCCAAGAAGACTTGGGTTCAAGTCCTGCCTCTGGTAGATACTGTGTGACCCTTAGTACCTCACTTACCCTCTCAATGCTCTTACAGCTCTCAAAGACTGTAAGTTTCAGAGAAGATGGCAACCTGCATTGGAAGGGGTTTAATTACTCAGGAGTTCCATATATAGGTGAAATTACAGGTCCGGTCCCTACTGCTTTCCATATATACGTGTGTGTGTGTACATATATATATACACATATACACACACACACACATATACATATACATACATCAGTTATAAAGAGCCTGTTTGTAAAAATTAATTTTCAGAGTAGGTACACCTTAGTAGAAGTTAGACTTCTTGTTTTGTTTGGAGCCAAAGTACTCCCATTCTGATGGAATTAATTATAATAGCTAGTTTTTATATAAAACCTTAAGACTTGCAAAGTATTTTACATATATTTTGATATTTGATCCTCATAACAACCCTGTGAGGTAGGTGCTATTATTATCCCATTTTCCAGGTGGTGATATAGAGACTGTCAGGATTTAAGTGATTTGCTCAGGGTTATACCACTAAGTAAGTATCCAAAGCAGGATGTAAACTTGCACCTTTTTGACCCCAAATCCAGTGCTTCATCCACTCTGTTGCCTAAATATATTGTATAGAGATTTACATGAGCCAAAAAGACTATGGTGTACCACTGAACCATAGGAGATTACTAGTTTTCTTCCCACTTTCCCTGGATACATGTTATGAGTTCACTTTTTCGCTTAATGGTACCCTGATCCTCCGGTCACTCGTTTTAGAAACCTCCATCATCCTCAGTCTCCTCCTGATTTCTAGTTAGTTGCCAAGTATTGTTGATTCTTCCTATCATATAGCCACCTCTAGTTTACCTTTCTCACTTAGACTATTGCAGTAGCCTCTCAATTGGTCCCCTTGCCTCTGATCTTTCCTCTCTCCAGTCCATCTTCTACACAGCTACCAAGTGATTTTCCTAAAGCACAGATTGGACAGTGCCATTTCCTGTTGTCTCTAGAGTTCGATACAAATTTTTTCATTTGGCATTAACACTTCATATTCTGGTTCTAGCTTACCTTTCAGATATATTTCATGCTGCTCGTCTTCACTTCCTTGCTCTACAATCCTGGCCAAATTGGTCTACTTATTATTTTTTCACTTGGCATCCCATCACCTGTCTCTGGATGTTTACACAGGCTGTACCCCTTGCCTGTTCTTCTTTGTCACCTTTACCTCTTAGAATGCCTGACTTTTTTCAGAGCTCTGCTCAAGCACCGCCACTTGTAAGGTCTTTCCTGATCTCCATAGGTGTTAATACTCCCTGAATTACCTTGTCCTTATTTTGTATATATTTTGAATCTATTTATATGTGTAATGTTATTTTCCTGAATAAAAGGTAAATTTCATGAGTAGAGACTGTTAGGTTTTCATCTTTGTTATCCTCATGCTTTGTATAGTGTCTTAAACATAGAAAGCAATTAATAAATTATTTGACTTGTTGATTATGTTCATAGTTTTTATATTCTTGGATTTTTTTTAAACATTGCTGTCACTTTTCTTCCAGCCCTCCAAAGACAACTCTTCCTTGTAACAAAGAAATATAGTTTTTAATACTTTTAGTCTTATTTTCATTGCCATTTTTTGCTTTTACAGCATCTTCATTTCCAAATATTTCATTCTTTCCTCTCCTGTCTACTGAGCCATCCTTTGTAGCAAATATTTAAAA